CAAAGCTCACAGATCAGTATACTTTAACCTTTATTTAATCGGGCAAATCCCATCAAAATCACAGATCTGTTTTGCAAGGGAGGCCTGGGCTTGGAGGCAACCTAACGTGCACTTTTTTTTATTGTGACCCATGCAAGCACTATAAGAGAACATGCAAATAACACATCAAGCTGGAACTGGTGATCAAACCCTCGACCTTCATGCTGTGAGACATGAGTGCTGACCACTGAACCATTATGCTGCCGACACAGGCAAATAACACTAGTGTTGCACCATATTGATTTCAATTTTCACTCAGCACTCTGTAAAGGTTGAATTGATCCGAGTTAAGGTGAGTATGAAGTAGCAAACTGTTTCTAATCAGTCATAGAAGAGAGTGAATTGTCAAAAGCAGTATAAGGTTAAACATAAAAATTGTTCTTACAGTTTGGTGGTGGTGTTTGTCGGTTGATTTTGGTAGGTTTTTTTTTAGCTATTGGTTAGTTTTTTATTTTATTTTTTGGCCTACTTTTTCATTGGTTGGTACAGCGGGTAAAATAAGTATTGAACACGTCGACATTTTTCTCAGTAAATATATTACTAGAGGTGCTAATGACATGAAATTTTCACCAGATGTCGGTAAMAACCCAAGTGATCCATACATACAAAGAAATCAAACCATAAATGTCCAGAAATGAAGTTATTTGTAATAATGTGGAATGGCACAGGGAAAAAGTATTGAACACACTTACTGAAATTTATCTAATACTTTGTACAAAAGCCTTTGTTGTCGATGACAGCTTCAAGACACCTCCTGTATGGAGAAACTAGTGGCATGCATTGCTCAGGTGTGATTTTGGCCCATTCTTCCACACAAACAGTCTTCAAATCTTGAAGGTTTCGTGGACCTCTTCWATGAACTCTGATCTTTAGTTCTTTCCATAGATTTTCTGTTGGATTCAGGTCAGSTGATTGGCTGGGCCATTCCAGCAGCTTTAGTTTCTTTCTCTGAAACCAACTGAGAGTTTCCTTGGCTTTGTGTTTGGGTTCATTGTCTTGCTGAAATGTCCAGCCACGTTTCATCTTCATCATCCTGGTAGATGGAAGCAGATTTTTATCAAGAATGTCTCTGTACATTTTTCCACTCATTCTTCCTTCAATTATTTGAAGTTTGCCAGTACCATATGCTGAAAAACAGCCCCACACCATGATGTTCCCACCTCCAAACTTCACTGTTGGTATGGTGTTTTTGGGCTGATGTGCAGTGCCATTTGACCTCCAAACATGATGTGTATTCTGGCATCCAAACAGTTCAATGTTGGTCTCATCTGACCAGACTATATTCTCCCATTATTTCACAGGCCTGTTTAAATGTTGTGCAGCAAACTTTAAAGGAGCTTCAACATGCTGTTTCTTCAGCAGTGGAGTCTTGAGTGGTGAGCGTGCATACAGGCCATGGTGGTTCACTGCATTACTTTTTGTTTTCTTTGAAACAATCGTACCTGCTAATTCCAGGTCTTTCTGAAGCTCTCCACAAGTGGTCCTTGGCTCTTGGACAACTCTTCTGATAATTCTTTTCACTCCTCTGTCAGAAATCTTGTGAGGAGCACCTGGTCGTGGTCGGTTTATGGTGAAATAATGTTCTTTCCACTTCTGAATTATGGCCCCAACAGTGCTCACTGGAACCTTCAGAAGTTTAGACATTCTTCTGTAACCGATGCCATCATTATGCTTTGCAACAATAAGGTTGTGAAGGTCTTGAGAGAGCTCCTTACTTTTACCCATCATCAGATGGTTCTTGTGTGATACCTGGCCATCATTTGGGACTGAACCAGCTGATATTTGCACTGACAAGGGGCAGGCTTGCTTTCTAATTACTGAGAGAGTTCAGCTGGTGTCTTGGCTTTCCATGCATTTTTACACCTCCCTTTCTTCATGTGTTCAATACTTTTTCCCTGTGTCATTCCACATTATTACAAATAACTTCATTTCTGGACATTTATGGTTTGATTTCTTTGTATGTATGGATCACTTGGGTTGTTACCGACATCTGGTGAAAATTTCATGTCATTAGCACCTCTAGTAATATATTTACTGAGAAAAATGTTGACGTGTTCAATACTTATTTTACCCGCTGTATGTAGGTTGGAAGGTTGCACCAGCTCTCAACAGACTTTATTACCATTTTCATTGTTGCTGCCAATCAAATTTACAATCACCACTTGAAGGAGACAGATGAAATCTTTCTAAGCAACATACATCCTCAAAATTTGTGACAAAAATCAGCCACCAAAGATCGACACCTGTCCTTCTGGAAATCAGCAAAGCATTGCGAGAAATCTTTTTTTGGAACAGTTTTAGTGTGTCTAATGCTTAAATTTCCCATAAGATGTGAAAAATACTTTTTTTTTTATTTTGGCACATATCTCAGTTTACCCTGATCCTGTATTTTTTTTTAAATGTGCCATGTTGTCATCAATGCATGTTCCAATGCAATGATGAAATTTGTGCTCCACATTTGACCCACTGCACATGAGATACTCCCAAGTGGAGCAGCGGGCAGCTATGTAAGCTTTGGGGAGCAGTTAGGGATTAGATGCCTTGCTCAAGGACAGTTTCTTATCTCAAGATGACTGCACCATAGCCGCCCCAATCTTAATCATATCTAAAAACAAAACTCAGGTTTTGATGTTTGCCTTTTAGCTTTCATTGCAGTGATAAAAAAGGTCACTTATTTTAACTCTAAAATCCCCTTGTTTGTCCAGGCTATCTTTTAAAGGGCTATAAATGTCTAAACTAGCCTTTCATCCTTTTCGTAACGTATAGCTATGCTGCGCTGATGAGGTGAGGGAAAAGGGTATTAACTGCCAAGAAGAATTGCTTTTAAGCTGTTAAAAAATCTTCTTTTAGCTTCCCGTCAATCCGTTTTCTATCTCCGGGAAGACTTACTTTTTTTCATCTGAGGTCACAGCTCTATTGACAGGAGTTTTACTGTTCCCCGAAGACTCTGGACAGGGTCCATGTCGGACCTGGAACTCTACAGTCGTGAAGAAACCATCTGCAGTGGTTTGAACGATCTGTTGATTCCATCTGAAATAGTTATTGGTAAAATGGTTTAGTCATCAGAATTGTTATGGAATGAGGTGAAAAAGGGAAACACGTGTTGCATATTCTAGAAATGATATCACCAATCTCTGACAAAAAACTCGACTTCACAATAAGATTTAGATCAATTCATCTGAGCTACAAAACTATATCTGTCACTAATCAGATGAGATATTCTGTTCTGGAGAAATTTAAAATATTCTCAAAATAATAATAGTAAAAATAATAAAGTTCTAGATCTTTCAATTTTAATACATGGTTTATGTCTTTGTTTCCCAAAGTTTTTGAGCTTTTAGTTGACAAAATAAAAGTTGTAGATCTCAAAACGCCAATAGACCATTTTGTAGTTTTCGGTTTGCACAGCATTGTGGGTGGTTATATGTTCAATAAAAACAAACCCGCATCTGTATTGTATTTACCAGATGCCATCGCATTCTTCTTTTTCTTTTTATCTGATGTTTTTTATGAATTCTGTCCGAAATGTTGGAGTCAATGCAAGGGATCTAATTGAAAATGCAATTTTAGGTTTTTATTATTTTATAACTTTTTTGTTAACCATTTTGATTTACATAATTTAAGCATTTATCAATATAACTACTGCTTGTGCAATTATCTATCTAAATAAATTGTCTAAAAGTCTACTTCATGCCTGCAAACATATGCTGACAGCAATGAGAAACACCTGTTCATGTTAACGAGCAGCTGTGGAGTGAAGCTGTTCTCAAGACTTTGCATTTTCCAGCCGTTAGAAGAGCATTTCACTAAATTCTTGGGATTAATAAAACAGCATAAAATCAGTATTTTACGAACACTGAAAGCCAGACTTTAACCTGAACTTTATCTGAGATCATAACTGAAACTTCCATTATCCTGATTTTGAACTGAGCACCAGTAGTTAGTTTTGACTGCATCATATGATACTTTTATCATGAAATATCCTCTGCTCCATATAACCTCATGTAGTAACGAAGGACCTGAGAAACCCACAGAACAAGTTGCCTTTATTAATCAACGACTGCACGATATTGGGAAAACCTGCGATGTGTGAGAACAGTGCTTAATATTGCGATAACAATATGACTTGCGATAAATAAACAAATGCATAAGTATGTAGTGCTGATGTCTTTCTGCTCCTAATACTAAAACCTAATACTTTCCAGCAGCACGATTTTTTTTAAATATAAAGAGATCCATCCAATTGAAGGGCTCCTTTTGATTGGTGAAATACTTCAAGCTTCTGCCTAAGTAACAAAACTCATAAATGCAAACTTTTGAGATGACCATTTATTGCAGTTTATACAGTTTTTTGCAATACGCCTACTGTACAGGCTTTTATTGTGATGAAAATAAATGTTTGACATTTGTGCAGCCTTAGTAACCAGTGATTATTCTACAGACTAAATCAACTATACTCTGATAAAAAGGTATAAAATATTTATTTAGGTTCCCTATGTGGTTCCTCAGATGGACGGCTCCCTTAGCATTTGCCTATACTACCTATGCCACGAACCGACCCTGCATTTCCATAGCACCCTGAGTCTTTCCTGTATGATTGTGCAGATCTATCTATCTATCTATCTATCTATCTATCTATCTATCTATCTATCTATCTATCTATCTATCTATCTATCTATCTATCTATC